AGATGTGACAGAAGCGCCAGGCTCTGGTGCAGGAGTGAGAGGCTCGGGACCTCTGTCCTCCCTGCTTGGAGCTCCTGGGAAGCCAAGTGGTGGGCAAGAAAGCAGGAGGCCCATGAGACCCCAGGGTCTCAAGGAAGGAGGGCAAGAGGGTGGGGACCAGGTCCCCAGAGGACACACTCCTCCCTTGTTCTCTTTCCAGGGTCCAGAGCACCTGCTCTGTACACACAGTGACATGTCGGACCCTGAGATGGGATGGGTGCCTGAGCCCCCAACCATGACGCTGGGGGCCTCTCGGGTAGAACTGCGGGTTTCCTGCCATGGCCTCTTGGACCGGGACACACTCACCAAACCCCACCCTTGTGTGCTGCTCAAGCTCTACTCTGATGAGCAGTGGGTGGAGGTGAGAGCAGCTTGGGGTTTCTCCTTAACTAACCTGGGTTAAGCCTGGGAAAGGAGGGAGGTTTGCTGGGAGCAGCGAAATCCCAGTAGGGAGATGTGAGGACTCTGGAGGGGGGAACCTTTTCTAAGTCGTTTGGGGAACCTTGGAGACAGGTGTGCCATAATCACAAGCACAACCCATTTTACAGCTTTTACAGAGTCCCAGGGGGTCCTGAGATTGTCCCAGAGGCAATGGGATCACTCCCAAAGGCCTTATGATAGCCCCAGAGGACTAAAGGTACAGTGAGCAGGCTGTACCCCAAGTTCAGGGGTCATCTTAGGAGAAGAAGAGCTGGGAGCTAGGGATATGGGGCCCAAGAAGAGCTGACATGACCTGGGTGGTCTAAGGCAGGGAAAAGAAGCCTCGATCCCCAGAGAGCTCTCTCCCCTGCCCCCCACCATAGGTGGAGCGCACGGAGGTGCTTCGCTCCTGTTCTAGCCCTGTCTTCTCCCGGGTGCTGGCCCTGGAGTACTTTTTTGAGGAGAAGCAGCCCCTGCAGTTCCATGTGTTTGATGCAGAGGACGGAGCCACCAGCCCCCGAAATGATACCTTCCTAGGCTCTACAGAGTGCACCTTGGGCCAGGTCTGCATTCCCAGTCACCCCACCCTACCCCATCCTACCCTCATAAGCTTCTGCTTCTGGAAGCCAAAATGAGAGAACATGAGCTCTGGAGCTAGTTCAGTCAGAGCTTAAATCCCATTTCTGTCATTCACCGGCTGTTCAGCCTTGGGCAAGATAATTAACCTTTCTGAATCTTAGTTTCCCCATCTAAAAAAATGAGGGGTCATAGTGCTTCCCTCTCAAGGCTTCTGCAGAAATTGAGTCCAATTCTAGCCGAAGTCAAAAGGTCAACCCTTGTGGACACTCCGAGAGCACTTATTATTCTACCCCTTGTAACATGGCCAAGGAAGGTGGGGACATCACAGCTGGGTCTCCTTCTACCTCTGTCCCCAGATTGTATCACAAACCAAGGTCACTAAGCCATTACTGCTGAAGAATGGAAAGACTGCGGGCAAGTCCACCATCACGGTAGGCAAAGTCACCTGTATTTTACCTTGGGCCAGGCATTCAATTCCCTTGTATGGACATCATGGCGATGTCATGCCCAGGACCTCCCTCACTTAAGGAAAAGGGCATAGGGTAGCCCTTGTGGTGGGGTGGGGTGTCCTTTCACTTGTATCTACCTTGCAGATTGTAGCTGAGGAGGTGTCTGGCACAAACGACTATGTGCAACTCACCTTCAGAGCCCACAAGCTGGATAACAAGGTTGGAACCCCAGAATCCAGGCCCCTGTGTCCCCCGTTAGTCCTAGGCTCCCACACAAGACAGATCCCGGGGGCCCAGGCCTGCTCTCTCCTCGGTGTTAGCCCCCTCCTCTGCCCTCCTTGCAGACCCCATCAGACGCAGGGCCCTTTCCCCTGTATCCCCAGGATCTGTTCAGCAAGTCTGACCCTTTCATGGAGATCTATAAGACCAACGGGGACCAGAGTGATCAGCTGGTTTGGAGGACCGAGGTTGGTGCCTGGGGCTATGGGGATGGAGGTGGGGAGAGCAAAGTAAGAAAACCCAGACAGGAGGTGACCAGTTCCCTGGTGCCTCTCCAAGGTGGTGAAGAACAACCTGAACCCCAGCTGGGAGCCATTCCGCCTGTCCCTGCATTCCCTATGCAGCTGTGATGTCCACCGGCCTCTCAAGGTGAAGCCCCAGCCAAATAAGCACAGCCTGGTCACAGCGGCCAGCCTTCTGTCTGAGACCACCCCCACCCCGGGTGTGGCAAGCCTATTCCCTCTTCCCCATGTGATCAACACATCCCACTGTGGGATAAATAACAGGTCACAGCTCAGTGTTAAGTTCCCCACAGGTGTGCCTTTTATCAGTGACCAAAGTCCCTGCCAGACTGAACCAAAGAACAAAGTCCAGCAAGTGGCCCCTCTGAACAGGTTGAGGATGTCTGTTTGGGCCTAGAGGCTTCGCGGCCCCTACTTCCCTGAGAACTTCCCACCCCCCACCATGAACCACTGCAAAGCATCCCTGATTCTGACCCCACCCAACCCTCTGCCTTCTCAGTTCCTGGTGTATGACTATGACTCGAGTGGGAAGCATGACTTCATTGGCGAGTTCACCAGCACTTTCCAGGAGATGCAAGAAGGAACAGCAAACCCTGGGCAGGAGGTGCCACAAAGACCCTTCCCCTGGAATCCCACCCAGCTCCCTGGGAGAATCTTGAGGGTGGTGCTGAAGAGACTGTGGGTGACAGGAGGTGAAGAGGGTGGAAAGTAGAAGGACCGAGCCAGGGGGGTCTTGCTCTGGGAGGCTCTACTGAGAGAGGGTGAGGGGTCACCTGATGGACTTGTGACCCTGAGCTTGTGGGTTGGGGTCTAGATGCAGTGGGACTGTATCAACCCCAAGTACCGGGACAAGAAGAAGAATTACAAGAGTTCAGGGACGGTAGTGCTGGCCCAGTGCACGGTAAATTCATTTCCGCCTCAAGCCTTGCCCCAGCCCTGCCCCAGCCCTGCCCCTGCCACAATTTAGACTCGACTCTTCCTATGTTTCAAAAACCAGTTTTTCTAATTCTGGGAACTGGGAACCCTTGCCCTATCTCACCCCCAACTGCAATCTCAGGAACTCTGGCCCTTCCACTTTCCCTGCAGAAGCCCTTCCCCAAGCTCACTCCTCAAAGGACTAGCCCATCCCCCTCACCTTACCCATCTCCCTACCACCAGGTGGAGAAGGTACACACCTTCCTGGATTACATCATGGGTGGCTGCCAGATCAGCTTCACGGTAACAGTCCAGAGGATGGGGACACAGGCAAGAGGGAGGGACTAAGTCCATAGTGAACAAAGGAGCCCAGAATCTGCACTGCCCTCACTTGAGCTTCTCATGAGCTTATAACCCACACGCATTCCCAACCATCAAGCTCCCTGCGGGCTCCCCCAGACTCATCTTAGTTTTCCCTACACACCCCAGCTCTGGCCCAGCCTCTCTGTTGGCTCTCATGGCTGCAGCATGACCCTTTCTCCACTCCCATCCCCACCAGGTGGCCATCGACTTTACAGCTTCCAATGGGGACCCTAGGAGCAGCCAGTCCCTACACTGCCTCAGCCCCCGACAGCCCAACCACTACCTGCAAGCTCTGCGTGCTGTTGGAGGCATCTGCCAGGACTATGACAGGTAGCAGGGGGTGGGAGAGGAGGAGGGACAGGGAGGGAGGCCTTGCCTGATGGACCCACAGCCTTTTCCTCTCCTCAGTGATAAGCGGTTCCCAGCTTTTGGCTTTGGAGCTCGAATTCCCCCCGACTTTGAGGTAGGCTGGGTGCGAGGGAAGGGAGGAGATGGTAAGTGAGTCAGACAGGAAGAAAAGACATCCCCCTCACTGCGCTCACCTTACCCTGCAGGTGTCCCATGACTTTGCTATCAACTTTGACCCAGAAAACCCTGAATGTGAAGGTAAGATGGAAGATACCCTCCAGCCTCACCTTCCCCATACACACACTTGCCGAACATGCAGTATACCCCATTCAGGAGCACAGACTGTATTCCCACAGGCCCAGATCCCTGGTCCTCCCACCCATCCAAGGCCTATCTTCATTCATAAGACTTCCAGGCCAGGCACAGTGGCTCAGCCTATAATCCCAGCACTTTGGGAGGCCGAGGTGAGAGGATTGCCTGAGCCCGGAGGGTTTGAGACCCGCCTGGGCAACTTGGTGAGATCTCGTCTCTACAATAAATCACAAAAAACTGTCTGGGCATGGTGGCATGTATCTGTAGTCCCAGCTACTTGGAAGGCTGAGGCAGAAGGATCGCCTAAGCCCAGCAGGTCAAGGTTGCGGTGGCCGTGAGCATGCCACTGCACTCCACCCTGGGCAACAACAGTGAGACTCTAACTCAAAAAAAAAAAAAAAAGACTTGCCGGGCTCGGTGGCACAGCCTGTAATCCTGTGCTTTGGGAGACTGAGGTGAGTGAATTGCCTCAGCCCGCGAGTTCGAGACCCGTCTGGGCAACTTAGCGAGACCTCATCTCTATAGTAAATCAAAAATTAGCCGGGTGTGGTAGCCCGTGCCTGTAGTTCCAGCTACTCGGAAGGCTAAGGTGGAAGGATCGCCGGAGCCCAGCAGGTTGAGGCTGCAGTGGCCGGGAATGG